CTACCTATTCAAAATATTATTTTCTTTTTTTAATCTTTACAAGTAATAAACAATCTGTATCAATAGCTAAATACAATAAGAAAATGCGATAAAAGTTACAATTACTTGGTTATGAGAATTTAGTTGAAAGAAGCCACTCAATGATGACACTTTCTGTTAGTTTGTTAATTAAATTTAATAGATCACGACACCACTTACGCTTCAGATATCTCAGAGGATGGCCAGGTATTGTAAGAGTTGCCAAGTTTCTAGTGCAAAATATTACTAGTTTATACTATCAATATATAGTGTAAGTTTAGAACACAGACTTATTTATAAACATGAAAGTAATGAGGAAAGAATGAGGAAAAAATGATTCGCATTGTTTAAAATTAAATTGAATTTTATAAAATCTACCTATAAAGTTCTTTTTTAATGAACATTATTTAAAAAAATAAAAAAATAAACAATTAAATAAACTTGAATTTTTATTAAGATAGCAAAAAGCGAATGACATTCGTTTATCTTTTTACCCGATGTCAGTAACATAACATTTTTCACAGGCTTAAATAAACGAGCATTACTAAAACTTCTTTTTTTGGCTATATTTTTTCTCATTCAATTCAAAATTAATAATACTCTAAAAATATAGACCTAATTTAATGTATTGTATAATGTAAATATCATGTGCATACTACTCATAAATTATTTTTATGATTAACTGATTAAACTATAAGTATAAAGTATAAATTGAATAAATGTGCCTATGTTAAGTATAACATACCTAAATTTTATAATTTAATAAAATAAAATTGTTAAGTTAATAATCCATTAAATCAGTTGGCGTAAAACCATATTAAATATTTATGAACATTTAGAGTTCAAACATTGATGAATATTATGACTTTTCACTCTAATTATTTTAGTAATGTAATTCTAATTTGAAAAATATTACCCACGAGGACTTGAACCTTATCCTCAGTGTAACTTTAAATAATATTTGCTACACACAATACATTTAGATTAATGTAAAGGTATTTAAACCAGTATACCACTATCCTATTCAGAACGTTATTTTTAAATTATATATTATAACAAGTACGTATACGATATAATTGTATAACAGTTGACAATTATTAAATAACATATGCGATGGTTAAAAAAAAAACAAATTACTAATAAAAAATAAATAAGTTATAGATACATTAATAAATTATAAAATATCCTTTGAACATCTTCGCTTAAAATAATTTTTCGAACCTATGCAATAGTTATCACTTATCAATCAATTATAAATGAAATTGATATAATATATTTCGGTGATTTAATCAATGTTGAGATAGTTTTGAAACCTACAATACAATACGGCAGACAATTAATCTCTTATGTCTACAGTTATTTTTTTAATGATTAATTTTTTTTTTTTTTGCTTAGTCATGCCAGTGATTGTAATTTTTATAATTATCATTACAATTTAATTAATTATTTAACTATGAATATAATTTGATTTTTGATCGAATAATTATTTTATTTTTGTATTACAGTATATTAGATGTTTGAATTATATATTATATAATAGGTACCTATTCAAACTCAATTTCAATGACTTTTATTGCATTCGTAAGTTAGAAAACTTACTTTTTAAACATTGTTTAAATGTTGGGTAAGATTAGGTGGGTTATTTAAATTAACTAATTTTTAGTTCGTTAACTTTTAAATATGAAATTTTTATATTATTTACTTTCTCGATAAAAATTAATAAATATTTTGAACTTATTTTATAATTTTTTGTTTTTTTAATTGTTTGAGGCATCAACCTCTGGGCGAAATGTGATAACAATAAACTAAGAGAAATAAAACATTCGATATTACCATGGCCCAAATCATTTGAGATGTCCAGAAAAGACGAGATAATTCTTGTCCGCCTACGAATAGGCTACACCCGCATGACTCACGAATATCTCATGGCCAAAGAAGACCCTCCATCATGCCTGACGTGTAGAACAACCATTACAGTCAAGCATAATATACTGACAGAATGTCGAAACATTCAGTAAAAGGCGAATTGAACTAAAACCACCTGAGACACTATACGAGATGCTATCACCAACCACGAGACGACCAAAAAACTCCTCAATTTCGTCAACTCAACAGAACTGCGTCAACTGATTTGAATATTAAAATTTTATAATTTTATACAGGAAATTAACAGATCAGTTTAAAATCCTTAGTTTAAGAATATCATTATTTATTTTTAGTATTATTTAGGTACGTAAATAAATTCATAATAATATTAATAGTCGAAAGTATATGAATGTAAAAAACAAACAAAAATAATTAATTTTAAAATTGTTAATTAATAACAAAAAAAATAACTATGCATAGTAACAAATCATGATAAAAACTAAATTTTTTATATTTGAGTATTTTTAAATCAAATTGATGTGATGCCTATAATACCTACAATTATGGATCGTATTTAAATTTAAAGTAATATCGTTGGTATTTTTAATTTAAGCTAGAAAAAATGATAAGTTTTATTTGTTTGATATGTTTTAACTCAAATATCAGCATAGAAAAACGTTAAAAACATTATATAGAAAAACGTGTAAATACACAAAGAATTTAAATTACAATAAATTATATGAMTCCTATTTTGATAAAATGTATCAGATGAAAATATTATAAAAAATGTCCAAACGTAAAAAATATTCAACAAAGTAATTGTTATAAAATTAAACTTCTATTTTTTAGTTTTAGATTTTTGATTTAATTTTTAATCGCATAATCAATAATAAAAATATTATATAGAGTGATTCACCAAGAATGCTCACCATAATTTTTATTTTAACAATGAATTTATTCAAACAATGATTATTAAAATTTTTAAATATTCTCAATGAGCATGTTTTAAAATTCTTGTATTTTTTTTTTTTTTTTTTTTTTTTGGCGCAGATATGGCGTAAATATTCGTCTAAAACATATTTTGAAAAATTACAAAACAAAATATAAAAATAAACGTAAAACATAACCTTTTTTCTTGTTATGACCATAAACATTATTGATTTTTAACTCAAATTATAAATTATACTTTCAAAATATAATACTTAAACATATAGGCTTACAGTAATATTTGTGAAATTGAAATTGAACAACACGCTTCATAATTTTAATTTCAACGAATATTCCTCGTGCTACTCTTAAATATTAGGTACGTTGATAAAATTACCATGAATTCATCATAAACATTAATTTTCAGTAATATATATTCAGTGTTTGTTACCACTATAAACGCAACTGATGCAGCCTGAACTCTATAATAAGTATGACCCATCCAATTAGTGACACCCGAAAATCCAAACTATTACTGTGGGCAAGTCGTCTGATTCACCTGTCATCGGTGATAAAAGGTGTTAGTTGTAACAACTATTCTAATTAAATAAGTTAAATTATATAAATAATATTGTGTGAAAATAAACTATTATTTTTTTCAAATGTATTAAATGTACACAAATATGAAAATGCAATATATTATGAGAAAATCTTTTGGAATTTAATTTTGAATTAAAAATAAACCTCTCAAATCGTATGATTTGTAAGTCATATTTTTAGTAAATTCATAATTTGAAAATAAGAACTTACAACACAACAAAAATTATGGATCCCGTGTTTTAAAATTCGGATATTTTCAGTTCAAAATTTTAACACAATAAATCTTCCAGAAAAAAACCATTTCACCTTAAAATAGACTTAGAATTTATAAATTAGATTAATAACAGTTTAAAAGCAATAGTCTTTTGAGAACGCGACAAAGATAAATGTATTCTTTGCAACTCACAAAACACATACCTAGTTTATTATAATTTTAATACATATATACAATTTTAATTATTTGTAGTTTAAGTAATGATTGTGGATTTTATTCACGGACCATAAAGTGTACACTTAAAGATACAAAAAATAATTAGTTATTTTTAGACCAAAATATTTTATTTTCAAATATATTTCTTATATAAAATTAAAAGTTTAACTCAAAACTTATTTCATTTWCTGATATATTCTAAAATAAAAGTTACATAAGAAATTGTGTAAGTTAGTGTTATAATTATTATAAAGTTTTAGTAAAACTTCTAGCAATTTCTAAATTATTGTGTATTCATATAAGTCATGTAATTAAATTTGTCTGATGTCATTATAAAAACATGTTACAAACACTCGTAGTATTAATTAATACAGGGTCTTAAAATGCTGAAATCAGATTTTACTTKATAATTAAATGAAAGTGTTCATGTGAGATTAAAAAAGTACCATCACATGACAATAGAGATGATAATTTAAATCCATTTCAAAAATCATATGAAATTTAATGTAGGTTTTTTTGTGATTAAAAATTAGAACATCAACTGTGTAAAATAATAATGCACAAAATATATTTACTTACTACAAAAAACAATATTATTATTCTATATAGTCAATCATTAATTTAGATACTAAATTCAGTTACTTTTATTAACTCATAACGGCTTACTCGGATATGGGTGAGTTGTTTCATTAAGTTTGAGTTCACATTCCAATCGTAAATGGTTTTGAAATTCCGCTGAAATCCCTGTAGGACTTTCTGTTGTCATTTTTCGTTTTGAAGTCAAATCAATCTATGCGTGAACTAGGTATTCTTGGTTTACAACATCTGCAAAATACAAAATTATATTTTTCTTTAAATTTACTACTATGAATTATTTATAAATACCTGCAATGTTTTAACAAAATCTAAATTATTAATAGCTATAAGGCATCACATAATTAAATCATGTCATTAAAATATTGAAAACACGTATAAATGATATACAAATATAGGCATATTTATTTTGTTAAACAACATAATCGTCTGTAATGAATCGTGATATAATCTCCATATTCGTATGATAAAAATTTCCTTTTATACTCCATGGTTTGCTTACTTTTGCATAATACAGCAGAAAATACTGAACAACAAATTAAATAGTTTAAAGTTGATAACTCGATTAAATGACACGTGCAGTCAGCTTATACTGAGTATTAATTCAAAATTTAAAATATTATTATTTAAACAACTGAAACAAATTCATCAGTTTGTTATAAAAAAATCAATACAAATATCAAATAACTATCGACTAAATTTTTATTATTAACCTGTGTTCACTGTATATACATATATAAACTTATATTCTAACTGTACCTATTTCCTATAAGTATAAATATCCATAGAATAAATGCTTAAGGAGCTATCTGTTTTCAAGTAGAAAAATCCCTAAAAATATGTAATATTATACCTACCTTTTAATTGGTTATGTATAACAGAAACAAATGTTCTACAGTAAATAAGGCACTATTTTTGTAATTATAACTTTAAAGTTAATAATGTATTGATATAAATATACATGTAAACATTTAGGTAAATACATAATTATGTAAAACAATTTTCAAATTACAATAAGTATACATTTTCAATACCAAATATAAAAAAAGTAGGTCATAATTTCGGTGGTGGATGTTTGTCAATCGTCCYTTCGGTCCTCGGATAAGATAGTGTAATTTTAATGTATTCGAAAATTTGAATGCAATGATTTCATTCGATAAAAAACGATTCTAAGCGGATGAGGGAATCTTTTTTATTTAATTTTATTCGTTTCTATGGTGATAAACAAAGCRTTATAAGAACAGCTTAAGAACGATTTATATAAATAGGTAATTTATATAATTATAATTATAATTTATAATTAGGAATATCATAAAAATGAAAAAATAAAATAAAAGAAAAGAAAAAGCTCAAAAGTCTAAGTCTAACTAATATAATTAGAATACATAGTCACATAAATCATAATGAAAATGAAACAATTGTAAGCAAGAGTAAGTTATTAACTACAAGCCGTAAAAACGTATATGGTATATCTAAACCATATATACGTATCAGCAGAAAATATTGGTTACTGGATGTGACCTTAAACATAGATTATTTCAACAATTAAATACATTGCGTTATATAAATTATTTTCATCATTAGAAAATTCAATAAAATAATTACGGCTTTAAATTCGGTTAACACTTTAATTCACGATGAAATTAATTGTTCACATTCACCACTGATATGCTTCTGGACACTTGTTAGAACTAAATGCTTGCAGTAATTACTCACAGTTACCACTAATCACCAAAAATGTGGTCAATTTTCGTCCGAATTAAAGATAACAATAATAATAACTCAGTTTTCCGTATGAGAGGTTACGGTAATAACAGTGGAAACTTAAATCTTATGTACAAACGATAATCGCTTAAATATTATTCCAGCGCTACAMAAATAAAATACCTAACTACCAATAAAAWAAATAATCGATAAGTATATATTATTATATATTATCTAAAAACAGATCCTACAATTGAAGGACAAGTCATAATTTAATATTGGTGAATTTATAGTTCTTTAGAAAAAAAATAATTTCAGTGTGTTAACTTATATTTCTTATTAAGTAATGAATAATTAGCTATTTATATTTATCTCTTTAAATAAAATATATAATTTTTTTTTTTTAAAGAACGTTTATTTTTATTTTTGTTGCTTTTAGATTACTTAATAATTGAGATAAATTAGTATGATATTTATTCTTAATTTATCAATACATATAAATTAATTAAAAACTGATAGTACATAAAATAAAAGAATTTCATGTATATCGACAAAATCGTATATTATTATTTGTATTTATTAGATTTTAAACTTTTTTCACATTTTTAAAGTTATAGCCTTAGATTTGCATTACCAAAAAAAAAAAATATATATAATAATCATTTTCTATTAATAACAAATAATAATGTCAGCCGAATCGTTATAAATTTAAGTAGGTTCAAGTAGCTTCATCTGTGTAAAAAAMAATAATCCTTTAGAAAGAGAAGTCTATATTTAGTTCATATTCGTTTGCTTCAAAATTATGATCTTAAAATTAAGTTGTTTTTATTAGAGAATATATGCAATCTATACACAAAAGCATAATAAGAATATGTGCTTTTTAATAGCACCTAGTTTGCTGAAACATTTAAAAACAAATCAATATGTGCTACAAACTACAATGTATTAGAAAAGAACATGAATAGGGTCAGAGAAGAAACCATCCAGTGATCGCACTTCCTTTTGCTTAAATGTATTATTTTTTTATTTACAATTTGTTAAATAATAAATTTTTTACTTACGGAACACAACTGTATACTTACAAAAAAAAAAAAATACTACATAACATACTGCTAAATATTTAAAAAATATATATATTTACATACGTCAATACGCATATTTAACATGAAAAGTGATTCTTTATTATACATATTATGGATATATTACGTTCAGTAAAAAATTAATGTAGATAACTTCTTATAATAAAACAGAAAACATTGTAATCTTATATACCAAGTGTATGACAAATAATAGGTAATTAATAGAGCCCGGAATTATATTCTTTTGCATATTTTTTATGGGTCTATGCAGTCAGACGCAATTACTAATTATAAAGTAAAATATATAATTGAAATAAGTACATGACCTAAACTGCCATATCATATTTTTTAAATTACATTTGTATACACTATAAAATAATGTTAGCACTTCGTACCGAGTTAATAACAAAAATTAATTTAYCATCATATTTTCARTTAAAATCAATGAATTAAGTATATTCAAGTTTGATTAAAACCACAACAGGTGTCAGGTACCTCGTTATACAACTTGTTGCCGCTTTTATTAATTTTAACAGCTATGAGCCAACATGTTACATGTTACATATTACATGTACACTGTACAATGCACCAAGGTGGACAAAGACTTGAATTCTACACGTATGCCTAAACTCAACAAAGTACGATTATAAATTTTTTTCTKTGTGGYTATTGTTTTTACTGCTATTAATCATCTTGGAAAATTCTAATATTCAATAATATGTGAAATAATTAAACTATTACCCAATCGTCTAATTATCTATAAAATAACAAAACATAGTTTGTATTTAGATGTGGGTACAACATTTATAAGCAAAATGCTAAATTTATTCCTTCATAACTTTTATCATATAACATCAAATAGAAATGAAACAGAAATAAAAATAGGTGCCGATGATTATTCTTCGATTACTAGTAAAAATATCACCGTAGGTAACAGAATATTTCAGAATAATGATACAATTGATAAATCAATAAATTATCTTTACTGAACTTCGTTGTACAACTGATAAGCTAAGTATTAATATATGCACAATTATGTTTTATCAYTTAATAAATAATTTGAATATCATAAAATATAATATATCTACAATGTTTTTTTGGAAAACCTCAGAAACAATCCATTCAGCACAATCTGATGTGTGTATAGGAATAAGTCAAATAAGGTAAACATATTCTAAAACAAGAAACAAGAGTCAMCTCTACATATAGTACATAGTTGCCGTGGTTACAGGCGTTAAATTAATGAGCTATGACCTACCGGATAAAAAGCAGCAATTACAAATAAAGATAGCAACCGAGAAACGAGCSAGTATAAGTGACAAAAATTAATAACAGAGTAGACGTTTTAGTATGTTTAGTATGTTTTGTAGTTAACAAAAAGTACTAGAAATATACAATCTTCAAATTTATTTTACCAAGTATTTATTAAATGAATGTCCYATTATCAATGTACATATTGATTCACCTAGCATGCTAATCCAATTGCTTTAAATAATACAGCTATCCAAAATCTGATCTTTTGAATGCCTACTTAATGACTATATTTTCAAATTCTTAAAATTGATTGTCATAACCACTTAAAAAGTGTACTGTGGAGATACAGTCATTTTATTCAAATGAAAAGGGAGGTTTACTATTTTAAGTTATTAAGTGGATAATTCTCTTGAAAATGTTGATGCATTAAAATCAAAATTCAAACAAGTCATTTTTTTAGTTATCCAAGACAGATAAACCGTCTCCGCTCAGAATCGTTTTTCGTATACAATGATATAATATCATTGGATTCAAATGTAATTCCATCCATTACAGTAACCCACTTGTAACCTACTGTACAGCTGAGCGCATTCACGACTTACCCGCTTTTTATTTTTACTTTTTGCCACTCCGTTATAAAAGTTTTTGGTCTAGCCAATTTTGATGTGATTTAAATTTTTTTTTCTGATTTAATAATATTATCAAAATTTTCCAGAAAATTAAGTAAAGTTTGTAGATTTGTTCACAAACTACACTAAAATTATTCAGGAAATATTGATGATAAAATGCATTGTACGCTAATMATTTTTTTTGAATTTACTTACTTACTAAAACAAAAATACGGAGGTATAAAATACCCCATTGTAAAATCAATAATTAGGTATAAAAAACTAATTGATTTATTGGTTAGTTCATTAATCAAAATTCGAATTAATTATTTAATATACGAATCGTAATTAAGTTTACTTGTAAACGAGACATCCTCTATAATAATTCACAATATATAATAACCAAATTAATAATGACATAAGTACTCAATAGAAATACTTCATGATTGTATTATAACAATARGTATGTTATATTTAGGATGTACCTAAATATACAGAATGCTTGGATTGTTCAATTATATCATTTAAATATTATTTTGATAGATTATGGATGTAATAATAATTGTGTGTTTTTTTATTTATCCGC